CTATACAGAAGTTCCAAACGATGGAGGTACATAAAGCTGTGAGGGGTGCTGAGCATCTGAGAACTGTGTCAAATTCCTCCCCAAGTGCCCATCACCAGGTGTATTTGAGAACAGGTTGGCAACAATAGCCACGGCAGGATGCTACTGATGGGCTTTGTGAAAGTGTGATAATGAGCAGTAGATAAAAGGCATGGGAACAGCTGTTCACAGGCACGGGGCTGTAGTTGGTGTGGTGCTGAATGTTAAATACTATTCCAGGATTCTTTATTTTCTGCAGAACAAATTAAGATCTTAGGCTATGACTGGAGTCCTTTTATTAAAAGTTGACCATAAGGAAGTTATTTTCAGTCTTTTTCTCCATTTCTTTGTCCCTAACTTCTAAATTTCCTTTCTTTGAACAGTGAAGCATAGGCCTTCAATTAGTTTGAAAATTCTCTAACTTTTAGTCTCCCAATAGGATTAGACCTGCTAAGAGTAACTAGTGTTTTCCATCTGATAAATAAGGGGATTACAGCAATAACTGCTGTCAGCATTTTTCTCATTTAAACAAATAAAGCTGACAAATGATGAAGTCCTGTGCGCTCTGTTATGCTTAGTACATGCAGGGCAATTACTCATCGGCTGCCAACATTAGTCTATCTACAACTAAAGCATCCAGCAGCCCAGAGAGCTTATTAGCATATGAGTCTCATAGTCATATTTTTATATTCCGTAAGACTCTACTCCATAACAAAGGCTGATGGTTATAATTTGCACAATAATTTAAAGGGTTGGACTTTTCCAGGCTTATTAGTTACACAAGTTATCAGGTGCAATGCTGCTCTTATTTATGAGATGCCACCTTCTATTTGCCTGGAATGTTTGCTCCCCTGTAGCATTTCCTGTGAACAAGTTAGCTGTCATCTCTTGAAATGTACAAGGAGATGGTTGTCTCTGTAATATGCTGTTGGATGAACTTCAGTGGGAGGTGGGCTGGAGGCTGAAAGAGAATAGCCTTCCATGGATGTTTCTGATGTGTCTCATGAGAGATAATATACTATTTGAAACAAAAATTTTAATCTTATTCAATAGTTATTTCGTAGAATAGAGAATAGAATAAAAGAGTTTTCCTGAAAGGAATAGTTGTAAGACTGAAGACCTCACACTTGGAGAAGGCCCAATCCAAAAAGAAATTACACTTTTAGGGAGATTGTTATGTCATGTGTGGCCTTCTAAAGAATCCTGCCACCCTGATTTTCCTGAAGGGAAAATGTATTCTATTTGGAAATAGGTGGTTTTATATTTGTTTTGCTTCTCCAATCCCATGAAGAGCCTCTGCAAAGGACTGGCAACTAAATCATGTTGAAATCATTACTTTTCTCAGTGGCAGCTAGTCTGAATGAGGAGTTGCAAAATTTCCGCACATTTAGTGGGGTAAGATCAGTAATGACCTTCATCGTAAAGGTCATGGTCTACTGCTTATTCATTCCAAAACAAGAGGTGACTGTCCATGTAGAATCGTCTTGATTTCTACTTTCTATATCAATGCTCTGACATCTTGGGATCTTCTTGCTGACTCTGCAGGACTGCCTTACTGAAGACTGATTCATAGAGATAGCTGAGAATTGGCCTGTGGTTGTGCCTTGCATATGCAGACTAACTGATTCACAACCTGTACCTCCAACCACTTCTGTAGAACTCTCAGATTCTGGGCAAGTATTCTCCAGTACCTGGTACCAGGATATGAGGAATAGTCATTATGTTCCATAGCCTGTTAGAATTATTCAAACTAGTCAGTTTATTTTTTTTTTGTTTTTTTATATATTTTTAAATTTTTTACATCATTGTTCATTTTTGAAAAATATTTGCTTCTCTCCACCCCTTCAGGTGTAGTCCCCATAGTTTCCTTCACCAATGCACCTGTGCACCATCACCTCAGTCCCCTGTGTTCCTCCCTCCCTTTCTCTGATCCCTCTCCCTCCTCCTCCCCTGCAGTATGTCTCTGATTTATAATTGTCCATTTTTGCTTTGTTGTGTTTTGTACTGTTATTTTTTACACCAATGTCTTATTTGGTTCCCCTATATCCCTGCTATAAGTGAAACCATCCAATATTTTTCTTTTTCCTTCTGACTTATTTCACTGAGCATAATTCCTTCTAGCTCCATCCATGTTGCTGCAAATGGTATGAGTTTATCTTTTTTGATTGCTGAATAATATTCCATTGTGTATATATGCCACATCTTCTTGTTCCAGTCATCTATTTTTGGGCATTTGGGTTGTTTCCGGGTTTTACCTATTGTAAATAGTGCTGCAATAAACATAGGGGTACAGGTATTCTTTTGAATAAATGTTTTTGTGTCCTTTGGGTAGATCCCTAGGAGTGGAATTGCCGGGTCATATGGTAGCTCCATTTTTAATAGACTGAGGGACCTCCAGACAGCTTTCCATAGTGGTTGGACCCAAACTAGTCAGTTTAAAACCTGCTTATCCTTCCTCTCCTATTCTTTCCCACAGCAAGCACATTAAAGACTCTTACCCACATGCCCCCCCACTCCTTCTGCTTCCTGCCAGACCCTGTTGCTTCTTCCTGTGGCCCTGTGTGGCACACTATGCATTCTGTTTCTGTGGATATGTGAACATAACTTTCTTTTCCACTTATGCTGTTGGACCCATACCTCATTAAAACTTATCTGAGGGGCCCTAAAAATATCATGGCCCTAGATTAAATTATGGCTATTTCTGAGATTTGGAAACTCCCTGTTTAATAAACTTGATGATCCTGAACCATTTTGAGGCGATGCTTGTCTTCATTTGGAATAGCTTAGATATTCTTGTGCAGTAGAGACAGTGGGAAAAAATAGAATTGTTCCCCATTAGTTTGAACACATTTGTGACCTTTCAAGTTTATTGACTGTTTCTTAGGTGACCCTGATTTCCAAAGGGTGGCAGTATTCTATATAAACAGGCTTACCAGTCCTGTGCACGGGAGCTCTGTCACCTTCAACTTACCCTACCTCCCAGTGGGATTTGCTGTTCACTCCTGTTCTTTCACTATTCAAAGTTGATCATCCACCATTTGCCTCAAATCAAAGACAAAAATATAAAACAAGCCTTATTCTCTCCAGCCTAGTCCTGTATTGTTGTTTATTCAGCCTTACTTTCTGATCCCCGGGCTGGGCCTTCTCTCCTGTTTGCTTTCTGTCCTAACAGACCATTTTTTTTTTGTCTTTATTCCACCTTTCTGTGATATTTCCCTCTTTCTTTACCTGCCAACTCCACCTTCTCCTTGCCCTTGTCCTCCCACTCAGACTAGTTTTATTTAAATACAAAAGACCAAAAAAAAAAAAAAAAGGCAGCAACAATAATATGAACAATAATAACCCTCTAAGGCTTCTTTCCTATTTGATGTGGGAGACAGTTTTCGACACTCATACATTCCTGTACTTTCCACAAATAGTGGAAATGTGAATTACCAACTGTCATCAAGATGCTTTTCTGTATGTGGGGCCTCCTACAAAATTAGGAAGTTACAGCTCCAATTGTACATGGTGATTTATGTGGTCATAAAATTATCTCATCACACCCTATAAATAACATGTTATTGATTGGCTCGAAGGAAATGTTTCCTCAACCTGACAAATCCTACACCTCCATTATTGTTCTTGAAATCCTGCCACTACCCACGATATAATCAGCTTCCACCTACAGCACCGAGCCTCTCTGGCACATTTAGATTATGTGCCCTGTAGTCCTATTGAACTTAAAGGCAAAAACAGAGTTACACACATAATTTTTCTTTAAAAGTTCTATGTGTTGGTCTTGTTTCCATAATTAAGTATAAATATACCTAAAATACAGAGACAAAAATGAATTGAGAGGTCCTGTGTGTTGAGCTGGTTTTGGTGTAGACAGATCTGGGTTCAGGAACGTGGATCCCCCATTTACAGACTGTGTGATTGTGGATGAATGGCCTAGCTTCACTAAAGCCATCGTTCTCTCCTCTACAGAGTTGGAGATGCAGTGGCATCTACTGCATCAGTCTGTTGTGGAAATGTAATAAATGAATAGGTTAAAGGCTTATCATGATGGGGGCACTTAAGTGGGATTCAATAAGCATCATTCCTTTTGCACTCCCATGCTGCCTCTCTCTGAGCAAATGTGTCTTGGTTGGAGAAAGTGTGCTGACTGAGGGCTGCTGCCCTGCTTGTGGTGCTTAAACTGAAATGGCCAGTGAGTGGTTTTCCTTTCATCCTTGACACTCTGTGCAAGGTGACTATTCAGAGTTTTGGAAGAAATTCACACTCCCTAGTAAGAACTACAAAGCAAGTTGTCTAACCATTTAGAGGATGATGATGATGAGGAAGAAGGATAATGAATTAAAGGTCAACATCTTAGTTTTTATCTCATTTTACAGATGTGGTCTCCGATGCTCTTTCTATAAAAGTATTTCTTTTTTTACCTCCTTGTGTCATCCCTACCGAGGCCCTCCAGGGTTTGCCTCCCTAGGTCTCCTGGACAAACTTAATTCAATGTTCTGCATCAGGTTCGTTTTCTGAGCCTTTGAACTTGAGCCTTTGGCCCTTCCTATAATTCCCACATGTTTGCTTTCTTCCTCTCTCTCCCAGGTGTAGGGGCATTAAAACCACCTGGAACTTTGTCTCCAAGGTTGGTATGTTGAAGCATCTTTAGCTTTAGAATCCCAGCAGTTAATTTGGTGCCACATTCGTTGTAGTCAATTTTACATGGAGAAGGCAAAGAAAAAAACACTATGTCAAGGTACCATCAGAACTATTATATTGTATTGGAGCTGCATTTGTTGGTAATACTTTACACTTGTTCTTTCCAGCCTCCTCAGCTGTTGGGATTTAATTAGCAGTAATATATTATTGTCAAAGTAATTAAAATCTCGCCTTGATTAAAAACAAAATTGTTTAATTAACAAGAAAAGGTTTGGCTAGCCTTAACTTTCTGTTTGAGACATGCAAAGGCCTCAGAGGACTTGCTCTCTCTTCCCTATCAGGCTTGAAGGTCCGGGAGGTGTTTATCAACGTCACCAGGCAGCAGGTGGAGGATTTCCATGGGCCAGAGGATTATTGGTGCCAGTGTGTGGCGTGGAGCCACCTGGGGACCTCCAAGAGCAGGAAGGCCGCCGTGCGCATAGCCTGTGAGTACATTCTGGGTGACCTTGTCCTGTAGAAACACAGACAAGATTTACAGAGCGCTGAAGAGGGGCTTTGGACAGACCAGATGCTTCTGCAGAGTGTAGATTTAGAGGACAGCAAGAAACTACCAGAGCTGTCTCTACCTCTACTAAATTTACTCTTTTAAAATTGTGTTTTAAATGTTTGATAATTTCCTCTGGAGTACAATCAGCAAATCAGTTTGGAGAAGAGATTCTGCCTAGATTGTGAGAGTGCAGGTGTCTCAACAATGCCAGGAAAAACTGCTCCTGAGAGAAAGAAACCACACAAATGGATCCTGCTGTTCATCATCAATGACAGAGTTCAAGGGGCATTGATGGGAAAAGTTGAGCAATGACTGTTTACCGTACTTTCCAGCAAATCTGCAAAAATAAGACATTAAAGGCATTAAGGATTTTTTTATAGCCTACTTTTAAAACTCTTTCCTCAGAACCTTAAAACATGGAAATGTGTTTTAAAACTGCATTTGTTTGACCCAAGTAAGACTTAAAAAAGAAAAAAAGACCGTGGAAAAGAAAAAAAAAAGAAAGGAGATAGCTTTTCAGATGAGTCCAAGGATGTCTTTATCATATTTTGCCATCAGTGTTTTTATAATCTCAAACATATTTATAAACACAAAAACTTCTTTCTCCTCCTTTAAAATCCCTCTCCCCTCCTCTTACCCTAGCCCAGTGGGTTGCTATAAAATCTCCTCTGTGTGTCCAAGAATGTATAAACCCCTTCAGAAGGAAATTGAGAGCTGGAGGGCAGAGATGGTTATTGTTGTTTTATTCAAATGCTGCCTTTTGAGAGTGCCATAAAGAATACGGGACAAGAGGGATTTATTTGAGGACTGCAGGAATTCTTCATAGCAGATGTCGATGGGTTAGGGATTAGGAATAGAAGCAAATTGCTATTTGCAGAGACATTTAAGTTTCGTAGGAAATGAAATCTTCCTCTCAAAATATGCATTTCACCTTCACTATACTGGCTATCTGGGAGGTCTTCCCCTGGGTGTTGGCCTGGGTCCTGACAGGCCAAGGAGAAGAGGCTGTTTGGTAAGCTGTGCTTTTGATGTAAGATTCATGGAAAACATTTTTCCTACAGTTATTTAGTTAGTTAATTGTAGCCAACAAATTCTTTGACTTTATCGCACCAGGTCACCTGAGAGCATGATTTGTTTGTCTGTACTCTCCCTTAACACATCCAGCTCTCTGCTTCCTACATGTCTCAGAAAGGCTGGCCTCCTGGGTATTTGAACCTAGCAGGCCAAAACTGATTGTCCTCTAGGCTGTAGCTAAGGATAAGAGAGGCAAGATAGCAAGGATGTTCAAAACATGTCCTTCAATTTCTTTCTTCTCAAAGTGGCTTTTCCTTTTCCTCTACTTCCTTTACTTTTCTGAAGCCTGCAACTCCATAATTGCCCTCATAATTACTGATTATCACTTGCATGCTAGAAAATTCTAGGGTTTTCTCCTTGGATACAAAGTTTGGCAAAGAATGGTTCAAACATCCTTTTAGTTTCCCATGATCCTTGGTCATGTATATTTTCCTTCTCCCTTCTAAGCACTTCTCTGCCAGTTACCCTGGCTTCTGCACCTTTGTTTCACATTTGTATCCCCTGATGGAGGAAATCCTGGTCCCAGACACCTGTTGGTTTCCAGTTCTACTAATATTTAGTTTAGTGGCGTCTGTGTATTAATGACTTTGGTGAGAAGAGTGCCTACTTCATAGAACTATTGCAAGATTTAGAGGTATTATAACTTTGGAATTGGTCGTCTTTGAAAAGAGTAACTGGCACAGAGTTAACTCTCTTCACTTTATGCCATATTTGATCCTCCCAGCACTAGCATTATTCACTAGTAGGTGTGTTAATATCTACTGGATCTAACTGAACTGAAATAAAATTGTAGTGCCTTAGTCATTTTTCTGTAGATTATAGATTATGAATTCTTTAGAAATCCATTCTAAGACAGTCCAAGTTATCCAACTCTTCCAGTCATGATAAGATCAAAGAAGATTAAAAATGAAAAATTCTTTTCTACCTCTTCCCACCTTTATGGAGTCATGAAATATTTTTGTGATAACTATCTTACTAATATCTTCAGCGATAGAATCATTTTATCATACCTGAATATGTACATAATTTTTTAAGAAAACCCTACAATATCTTTAAATCCTATATTATGCAATTAATACACTCTACTAATATTTATAAAATATTTTTAATTTATTCTTACATAGCAAGTGACACATCCTTTAATTCATTTACAATTATTTATGTACATCAAGACATAATTTGCCATTAATTATTGCATTTGACTTGGGGACTGATGTACATTGAAATGTAAATTGAAAATTAACTATGTTGAATGTCATCAAAAGTAGGAAAAGACTGGGCCTCCCCGGTGGCGCAGTGGTTGAGCGCTGGGTTGCGAAGCTGCCCGCGGCCTCTGCGGCACTGGTTCGATCCCCGGCTGCTCCTCGGCCACCGGAGGAGGGTCCCACATGGTGCGCAGACCTCTCCTGCCGCCCGCTGCTCCCCTCAGCAGTGTACTTCTGTCCTTCTGCCTGCTCTGCTCCCCGCTCTGGCTCTGGTGAATTCTCTCACCCTCCCACGCTTCTGACTGTACCCAGTGCTTGTATAAACAAAAACAAACAAACAAACAAATAAAATAAATAAATAAATAAAACATGCCTCTATTAAAAAAAAAAAAAGTAGGAAAAGACTGCCTTTAGGACCTTGTTTGGAATGCCTTTGATTTGCTTGTAGGGGAAATCACACTCCCCTCCCCCGCCTTTTTTTTTTTTTTAATAACTTTCATGTTTTGTTGAAATAAGAGCTTCTGGCTGCTATTTGCAAGCACTTCCCAGCAAATAGCACATTTCACATGAGGATAGTCTTTATTCCCAATAAATGAAAAGCCAAATTGGATATAATTGTCGCCATGTTTCTTCTTTTTAAGATTGGTTTTGGAAGAACTAAAAACATCTTAATGTGCTAAATAAGAATTTTGATAGATGAATGTAGCTTATGAATCTGATGACAATTGTCTTCAGGGGATTTTGCAAAATTAGTATCATTTATATATTAGTCATTACATTATTGCAATTCAACATCATAGCTCCTTATGATTCCTCCATTTAAGCAATGGTCCATTAAGATTTCAAATATTTTAAAACCACATCAGGCAAAACCTTTCTGGCAGCTGGGCCATTCAGCTGAGGGGGAAATATTGACTGGTACCCTGCTATCATCACATTAGCTAATCTCTACAAAAACACCAGGAAACTGGCTGGCATGATATCACTTAGAGATCATTCCATTTTAAAGGGAAACAATATAAATGCAATTATTTAATTATTTATGAAAGTTATATTTTCATGGAAAAAGACCCATATAGAATATTAGTTAAATATGCAGATTTCCTGGCTTCTGCATTAGGCCTGTTAGATCAGACCTTGGAGGAAGGTCAAGGGAAGTAATGTTTGTGTTAAGTTATCTGGGTAATTCTACAATCAGATAGCTTTTGAGTATCTTGCTCAGAAACAGTGTTTTTCAAGATTAACCTGCATGCAAATCGACTGGAATGCTATTAAAATGCAGATGATTCAATTAAAGTGATTCATTAGACCACTCCATGGTCTGAGATTCTATAGAATAACTGTATATGGTTCCTAGATGATGCCGATGCTTCCATAGGTCTGTGGACCATACCTTTAATAACAAGACCCTAGGTAAAAATTTTATGAAGCACTATTCGAGAAAGGCTGACTTCACCCATTCATCCAGACTCATCATTTAACAGCTAAATAAAGTGATGTTCAGAAAGATTATGTGACCTGACTGGCTGGTGGTAAACAGGGAACCAGACCTTAAATCCTTTTCATCCCTCCCTGAATGTTCTTGCTGATTAACCAAATTAATTCCTATTAGGTGGGAGTTTGAAAACCATCATAGAAAAAAAAGTTCATGTGCATTTGAGTGTTACTTTGAAGAAAGTGATTGCTTTCTCTTTCTATAAATTGCATCCCTCCTCATGATCACATATATCTATGAACAATGTGTGTGTGTATCATGTGTAATATTGATACATTTTGATATGGACGTGTGTATATGTACATATATAGATGTGCACATATACACATACATATATTTTATATATCATATATTTAAATCAGTACATATTTGCTATCTTAGTGGCCAACATACAACATGGACTCTATTTTAGGAGGACAAGTGTCTATCATCTTAAACTATTGTGTTTTCCTTACTAATTCCACACCCGGTGGCGCAGCGGTTGAGTGCTGGGCTGCGAGGCTGCCAGCAGCCTCTACAGCGCTGGTTCGATCCCCGGCCACCAGGCGAGAATCCCACATGGGTACAGACCTCTCCTGCTGCCCGCTGCTCCCCTCAGCAGTGTATTTCATCGGTCTGCCTGTTCTGTTCCCCGCTCTTGCTCTGGTGAGTTCTCTCACCCTCCCACGCTTTTGACTACACCCAGTGCTTGTATAAATAAATGAATGAATCTTTAAAAAAAAATAATAATTCCACACTGTGTCCAAGAGGTGTTGACTGCTCACCCAAACTGACTGTCACTGGAAATCGCCGAGACCCCATTTCAAAAGTGATGTTATAAAGGTAAAAATAAATAAAGCCAGCACATAACTAACTGCCTTCCCCCACCCTCATTGGCAGAAGTCCATCTCTAAGGAGTGACTCCCGCAGGCTTCCTCTCATTTTTCTGATTCAGTCAGGATGGAGGTAGATGGGCCACTGTGGCATCTGTTACTTGTGTTGCTGGATGGTTGTCAAAAGTAGGAATATTCAATTATTCGTAGTTGTTTATTTTCCTGGGTGAACATTTGGCTGCTTTGCCATTGCTTTTCTTTTTTATTTTTCTCCCTCTTCTTCATGTGCTTACAGAATGTTTTGTTTTGCCTGTGTCCTTAACCCTTAGTCGGTCAGACCCTACTTGCCCGC